TTAGCACAAAGACTGGAAACGGGGCAACAGTTAACTTGGCTCTCAATCATCTCTTGGCTGTAGCTACATATTTTTATTGGCAGACGAGAGAGTGGTGTCTGTCCTCTAATCTAACACTTGGAAAGAAAGCAAATAAGTGTATTGCCAAAATGTTGAACTATTCCTTTAAGCTCAAGGTGGCAGAAAACACAATCAAAAAACAATACTTGGTGTACAGATCATTTAGAGCTGATCAATTACTATATATTACAGATTTAATTAACTCTTCTTTACTAGTTTAATAGTAAATCTTCCTTTGAATTTGGTGCAGGCTGATCCACCATATCAAGCTCACGGATGACTGTTTCACACACTCTGCACTTTTGTAATAAGTACAGCTCCTTTCTCCACACACACACACACACACACTTGGGGAAAAAAAACTGAACAAGACCCAATCCCCTCTAATGGCAGCTGTTGCCCTTCCTCACTTCATCTCCAGGCTTCATGTCCTTCACTGCCCGAACATCAGCCGACGCCCCGTCATATGTGACTATGACGCTGGGAAGACAGCTGTGGTTTATCAATGCCACACTGTGGAGAGATAGACGGAAAGGGAAAGAAAACTGATAAGAATACAAATCCAGCTCTGTACTTTCTTACAATAGGTGATGTAGGAGCAGTGAGAAAAATGCCAATTTGTTATTGCTCATAGTAATGACATAACAGTGACATAAGCACTTATTTTAAGTGGTATTAGGACTATGCTACAACTGCACTCGTCTTAGGTCTTGAGTGTCCCTGAAATATGTCCGCGACCTTGCTATTACAGGAGTAGCAGGCTGGAAATAGCTTAAAAAGGAGCTGAGAGGGCAAATTCACCTTCACGCAGGCCGTTTCAAAACTGAACAGCCTCTGCCACAGCAGGGAGAGGATTTTACAACCAAATGACCAACTGGAGAAGAACAGTTGTCTTGCTAGGAATTGACAATCTGGCCCATTTTGGCATATCTTTTACATGTAACAAAGTAAAAAAAAAAAATGTATGTGTAATTGTAGCATTCAGCATTCATGGATGGATTTACGAGGCGCTTCTGTTACTTTGTCCTTCTCCAGTATGCTTTTGCAACTGACCAATGTCCCCCAAAAAATGAAGGGACTAACACATATCCAAAGAAGCCAACTGCCAGTACATAGAGAGACAATCCCTATGAGACTGAGAACCTCAGAAGGAGCTGTGTAAGGAGGAGAGAATGTACTCATATACTGTACCTACATGTGTACAGAATAAAAATGTGCTTGTATGAATGCATGTTAGTCCTCCTTCTTACTCTGGGTAGACTGCAGTACCTATGTGGGACAGTTCATCATCCTCTATAGTGAAACCATTACAGGCCACCTGTTGAATAAAGGAAACACAGGAGAAAAAGAAAACAATTCAAACACTCAATCAAATTATATGTAAATTACTATGTCTTCTTTCCTCTTAATCACCAGCGGTTGACAGGGAAATCACCAACAAGCAAATTGTTAGCATTACAGAATCTATGCTTACTTGACAAGGACATGGCAAAAAAGATAGTAAGAATAGACAGATTACCATTATTTGTGTGTGTGTGTGTGTGTGTGTGTGTTTGTGTGTGGTACCTGGGAGAAGAGTGTGAGCAGGTCTTTGTGGCCGGGTAACTCCAAATGTTTGGAGAAATAACGATGGAGTCCGGCAACATCTGCCTCGTTCATCTCTCTTTTCTCATTGTCTACGTCCTCCACATCTGTTCCAGGAAGAGGGGAAGACATTCTGATTTGGTTGATCAAATGTATATTTTTTCCAACTTGTATTTGCTATTTACCAAGGGTAGCATACCTACTCTTTAGGCCAGTATCTATTTCAGACTCTGGTGTCCTAATATAAAACTAGGTGAACACCGCTTAGTGTGTGCCAGGCTAAAATTAAGATAGCGACAGAGTAGAACATACCATCCTAATGTGAACGTACCCTCTTTTCCCAAATGAAACACTAGTTTGGCTATGGTCATTTGTAGGAAATCTTATCAGCACAAAGCAAGTGATCAGTCTAGTGACTTGCAATGTCTTGCTGCTATTTGAAGCCACCTTTAAGCAAAATGCTGACAGTTTGTCTTTAAATCTGTGTATAATTTACAATTTCTCACACCCAATATCTTTACATTGTATGTTTGGACATTGCAACTGGATGTTCAAATAACACACTGACTTGCAAATACACCGTGAACCTGTTTCAAATCTGATTTTGAAGTGATCTGAGCAACATTCAGTCTAAAACAACAGACATTGATGTTTGATGATCCTTGCAGGTTTGTTTTCATCAGGTCCAGTCTGTTAATCTTTAACAACTGTAAATAGATGGAGATAAACAGCTCTCTTTCCGTCACTGTCACTATGCCAAGGCAGGAACGCATTATCACCACGTCATCCGTATACAAGCTGCCAGACTGTGTGTTTGTGTGTGTGTCCGCATCTTGTCCCTGACCAGTAACACTAGAGTCAATTCATCCTCGCACGTCAGACTCTGAATCAGCATTTCAAAGGAAAGCTGATGATGCTAAAGCTCATGAAAATATTTGAGCAGAAATCAGTCTATGACAAGTGCCCTGAAGCTCACCGGGTAGAGCTGGGCTTGAGTCCTTACCCGGGTTTGAGTTGGCCCGAGACCATTTGCTACATAACAACCTCACTCTTTTTCCTCTCCCTCTCTACTGTCCTGTCAATAAAGCAAAATGCCCCCAAAAAATTATTTTCTATTACTGAAGAAAATAAGAAGAGCCATGATGAATAATAGTATACATTGCCCAAAAAAAGAGAAATTACATTTTACAATGATTTTTGCCTGCCTGTATGTGTTGGTACACATTTTTCTGTCTGACATTGTCAGACTCTCGATGGACAGTTTAAGTTGATACAGCAGACCCAGAGATATCTTTTTTTAAATCCATGCTTTCTTCTTCCTCATCAAAACCTGCCATCTAAATTACCCATTATGCATCTCAACCAGTGAGAGCTCAGTCAGAGATTTGGGTGTGTTATGTTAGTAGTGGCTAACGTGGCTATGTTACATTAGCCACGTTAGGCTAACAAAGCTGCTAGCCTCAAGCAGAGATGGACCGAGGTCAAGTAAACTTACTTCTTTCTAACTCCACGTTCAAGTTTTTTTCTTACTTTTAAAGTCATATCAGTTTTCCAACCTTAAGCTCGACTCAAATTACATCACTTGAGTAAATTTATCAGACTTCACGCAGCTCCCTCTGGGGCCATTTTTACCACATGCAGCACTCCACAGCATGTGCAGCAGTTTGTTTTTTATGCACCCTCTTAATGCTACTAAATATTAGTTAATATACTTTTTTAGTGATTTTGAACTAAATCTCAACTATAAATTACCTTTATGTGATTAACTTGACCAGACACCATTTGACTTACAGACATTCATGCAGTCAGCACTGTGTGTTAGTCTAAAGTGCTCCTGCTTCCCATTCAAGCTGTTACACTTGTTATGTTGTCTAAAGGCCATTCGACCAACATCTATAGGATATATATAGATGTGGCCATGGAGGTTTCTCTCAGTCTAATCTGAATGGGTTGTGCTTTTTTAAGCGGGATATCTAGGGACACTTAGTACTGAAGTACAGACACTTTACACTAAATCTGTACAATCGCTTTCCAGCGGTTGTCCCTACAGTACAAACAGAGTGCAAACACAAACAAAATTCATGTGTGCTTTTATGCTTGTGTGTTAAAGGAACAATTACTCACGTGATTGTATCTCTTCTATGAGTAAGATCTTCTCAGATACACATCTTCCTTTCTGTGTTTTCTGCGGAAAACAGGCAAAAAATTATCTCAATTAACCACAGTATATGCCAGATAGCACTCCAGAAGGACACTGTGTCTTTCATTAACTCTCCAACCTTCTTGGCGAGGATCCGGGCCACCAGGCGGGACATCTCTGACGGGCACCAGTTTTCTCCGAATGCAGTCATTGCAGAGCACTCCAGCTTGTGCATGGCCCAGTCCCCTTTCTACACACAAACAATATAAATGTTATGATAGCATGCAAAATTGCAACCCTGTAGTTTAAAGCCTATTTAACTATTTACAGTTTAGGTCCCACCACAACAAAGGGCCTAACAGTTGTCATATATGGCCCCTGAGTTACACCACCAGCTGAAGCATTAAGCAGCATGGTGTAATGTGACTCCACACTGTGTTACTCTAACGCTACCCTCAACCATTTACCCCACCATATGCAAACTGACACATTCATTTTTTGCTTGATCCCACTCTGATTTAGTTCATTATAATTACGATAGTGCAAGTTTACCACTCACATCACTTTATATAAATCATAATATGCTGATATACATGGCATCTATATTCTGATCTACATTAACAGACACCAGCCAGTGGGTGATTTGGTGTCTTCAGCTGTATGTTTTTTCAGTGGGGTTAGGATGGCTGAGATGAAACTTCCCTTTTACATGTGACTTTAACATGTGACTTTAACACCCATTAAAGTGACACTATATATACAATATATATCAGAATATACTGCTGCACCCATTGTCGTGTTATGCTGAAAAATGGCATTATTAAAAACACAGTTACTAGTGGGGCAAAAATGTTAACTTTGGTCTTGAGGGTGGCTCCAGACGACAGGACATGCTGTCACCAGAAACACAGTGTTTATCTTCTCTACAGTGACTACTGTTGGTCATCTCAGCGCATTGTTAAACAGCCCCAGCTGTACTTGGAGTACAATTGTATTTTCTATTACTAAAGAAACGAGTGATAAGACTTTAGTCCTTTCCTTTAGAGCTGTACCATCATGAACTGTTAGGTACATCAGCGCTCTAACTTCTAAACTGCTGGCCGCCCAGTTATAAAATGGCTGTTTTTCTACAATAAAGTTATTTCAATATTTAAAAGTGCTGTGTAGCATAAATAAAAGACCATTGTCAATAGGTATACTGCTTTCATTAGTCACGGTTTTCTTTTCTCGCGCAATTTCTTTATTGACAACTTTGTCATAGAGTAATGTTATGGTTTAATTACAGTTGAATTCTGTATAAGGTTAGGTCTACCTTCCATCCCATGAACATCCCAAAATGTATTTTTTATCCTCCCTAATCAATTATCTTCCATCCCCGGGTTGGAGGGATGCCCTTAAGTTAGAGCCCTAAACATTTTTGAGGCTTTTATTGCTTTTAATTGACAGTCATAGTGACACAGTGACAGGAAAGGGGGGGAACGAGAAAGAGGGGATGACACGTAGCAAAGGGCGGCAGGTTGGAGTCGAACCTATGGCCGCTGCAGCCAACTCAGCCTTGGTACACGTAGCACCAGCTCTACCAGATGAGCAATCCGGGGGCCCCTGAGACAAATATTTACCACTGAATTGACCATTATTGTGTACATCATTGGATGTCAATCCATCCAGTAGTTGTTGAAATATAATATGAAATAGACTCCTGACAAAAGTGTCAGGAAGTTCCACCTGCAGATACGATCATTTTTCAGGTAGATCTGCTTCTGTTCTAACATACAGTAACTGTTGTTACAGTAATACACATTAATAGTTTGGTACTGTGAACTACATGATATGACCCATTATCTTACACCCCATCCTTGTTCATTAATCACTTACACAGGAATCATTACATTACAGAATCATTCTATTCCTCCGACGACTGCTTCCTACCTGGCATTTTGCATTGCAGTAGAGGGCTTTCTTGCACTTCCCACATCTTGCCAAGCCCTCTTTCCTATAAATGACAAAAACAGGGTCTATTAGGTTATAGCAAGCAGCATAGTTACTGAAAGATCCTCACACATCCTTGTATAATCTTCTTTCCCCAGACATACAACACTCAGACACCAGAGCTCAGTGCATAGTGGATTATCTTGTTGTATCTCTATATCTAGCTGTATGTGAGTATTTAGCTTCTTGAGCGTGTAAGTGCATTTTAACATCCTGCTCCATTGCTCTGAGACAAGAAGAAGCAGTTGCTGGTGGCCTGTCGTAACTGATAGCAATGAATGGCTTTAAAACATTCTGTGGTATTAATAGAGTTGACCTTATCATGTCCAGCTGCCCCTCTATCGCACTGAAACAGTAAAGCAGTCCAAAAGTCCACTGTTGGTAGTCCAACCTGATAAACCTGTAAAGTACAGTCATACAGTCTGTACTCGACTCTACACATACTGACCTATCAAAGTGAGCTGTATCAAACATTTCTGATCGTCTATAGTAGAACGATGTCTATAACGGTATCTGCAAAAGTCTTCTAAGCTTAAGGCTCCATCTACACTTTAGAAATGCAGTCTCAAATTAAATCTTTTCTAATTTTTTTCTATTTATGCTAAACTAAGGTTACATTTAAGGTTGGCTGGATAAAGAAGGAGGTCACAACTAGAGTTTGGATTGGGGTGAAGACTAAGGTCGGAGGTAGGCTTACAGTGGCTTACAGTTGATGATAGTTAATCTGATAGTTGAGGATCAGCATTGGACATAACATAAAAATGTCTGCACAGAACCCAAACTGTGCACATATTTAGAGTTCTGCAACTTTTCACATCATCTCTGACTCTCTGCATCATTTAAGGAGTCAAATTATGGTAGTTTCAATGTATATCATCCATAATAACCTCACATAACTGTCCCTAATAAATACATTTGGACAAAAATGAGTTTCTCAATGTTAAGCTGAACAAATATATAAACTGCTGCTGTAAGAGTGATAACTGATTGTTATCATTACATTCAGACACGCCAAAACAGCCAAGAGCTGCATGACTGCCTGGCTGGAGAAAAAGGAAATGTTAGATAGTGTGATTTATAACTA